TACCCCTGCCTCTCCATGATGTGAACAGGAAATAAAGGAATATTTTATTTACATTCATTGGCTTTATAAAACCCTTGCTAATTTCGTTAATGTAAAGAAATAGCACTTTTATCATAAGCACTTATCGTGTTTTCATAGAAAATGGATTAGATTTTCCATTAATTATTTTAATGACGAAAGATGTCCATTTTCTTCAAGAAAGTGTTCAGAAAAGTGGATTTTGCCAGATAGCCTCTGTCTGACTAGTGAGACATTTTTGAGTTCCCTATTGGTTGTAAAAGGGATATTACAGTGCTGTAATTATCTGTGTTTGCCCACAGTTCTTCTCCTTCTACAGAGGAAGCTAGGATTGAAAGAACCACTGCTACCATATACAGAGTACTCCCATCAGACCCTGACCCAGGGGCTTCCATACCTTGTCTCAGTCAATACCCACGAGGACCCTCCCAGGGAGGCACTATCACCCTCATTCTACTGATGAGGAAACTGAGGCTACACAGAGTTAAGTAATTTGCTCAAGGTCACATAGGGAGTTAGTGGCAGAGCCCGGATCTCAAATATTTACTTTTTTTTTTAATATAAACTTCATTTTTTAATTTTTGTGGGTATGTAGTGGGTGTGTATATTTATGAGGTACATGATGTATTTGATACAGGCATGCAATGCATAATAATGACATCATGTAAAATGGGGTGTCCATCCCTTCAAGCATTTATCCTTTGTGTTACAAACCATCCAGTTAAACTCTTTTAGTTATTTTAAAATATACAATTAAATTAGTTTAACTATAGTTACCCTGTTGTGCTATCAAATACTAGGTGTTATTCATTCTTTCAAGCCTCCTCCCCACCCCCACTGCCTTTCTCGGCCTCTGGTTACCCTCCTACTCTCTATGTCCGGGAGTTCAATTGTTTGGATTTTTACATCCAGCAAATAAGTGAGAATATGCAATGTTTGTCTTTCTGTGCCTGGCTTATTTCACTTAACCTAATGACTTCCAATTCCATCCATGTTGTTGCAAATGACAGGATGCCATTCTTTTTATGGCTGAATAGTACCCCATTATGTATATGTACCACATTTCTCCAAACATTGACTCTTAATCACTGCATGAATATTTGTCTTCATAGTGACTGAAAGATTCAGAATTAAAAAAAATAATAAAAATAAAATTTGGGATACTTAAAACTTACTGAAGATAATCTATAATTGTGTTTAAATTAGTTATTACTAGTTATAAGCCATACTTGATTCTGAGCATGACTGATTATAGTTCAAAGATCGGTTTCTTTATGCTGTTGTAAACCAAAGGTATATCAGCCTATTCAGAATAATTAGTTATGTTTCTGAAGAGTCAGAAGGCAAAGTTTGTTAGAGTTCATGACCTAGGTACAAAGCAGTGTGGATTAGTGCCAAAGAAAGAGGCAGCCGGGTGCCAGGAAGCTGGGAGGTAGCTCTTGGCAACAGAGGGAAGACTGTCTGAAGAAGATATGATGGGAGGAGAGCCAACTGCAGGGGTCAGATTGAGGTGTCGGGTGGCTTCCTGTTGAGGATATGTGGCAAAACCCCTGCTAGTTCCCCAAACGGGAGTTTGACCTGGTTTAAAATGGGACAGCAGGGCAGGGAAATAGAATTGAGAAGAGACAGCTAAGATAGGGATTGGATTTCACTATTCTATGATGGAACTGAGTCTACTTAGTATACTTCCTTGCTCTCCTGTGGCTGGCCAGGGCACCAGTGTGGGGAATGTCTGCAGGCGGTGACATGTGGGCAGGCGGCAGCCATCAGGCTGCAGCAATGAGGCACCAGAGAAGGCCAGGGCAGACACTGCCAAAGACAGAGTTGGATCTCTGCAAAAATCCAGAAAGAATTCTGGGCCTATTTTCATAGAACGAGGCCAGAAAACATTCAGTAAACAAGTATTAGCCTCAGCTGGAATTAGTCAAATGGCTTATTCTAGTTTCACAACTAGGAGTGTTCTTTAGAAACCCACATTTGGGTAGTGAAAATTGCACTTTCTGGGCAAGACTCCTGTAAAACTAGAAATGACGATGCATCAAAAGATGACTTTATTATATTTTTATCAGTAGACAAGCTTCCTAAAAAAATTCACACACTCATATCTGCATATAGACCAACATCATAGAAGTACTAATATGACACTGTTCTGAATTATGCAGTCCTTGCAAATAACAAGCTGGCTGAAAAATATCTAAATATAATTTTAATTTTTAAACTTTTTCTTCTGATTTGAAAATTAGCTCACACGTAATCCCAGCACTTTGGGAGACTAAGGTAGGTGGATCGTTTGAGATCAGGAGTTTGAGAGCAGCCTGGCCAACATGGTGAAACTCCCGTCTCTACTAAAAATACAAAAATTAGCCTGGCATGGTGGTGCATGCCTGTTATCCTAGCTACTTGAGAGGCTGAGGCAGGAGAATCCATTGAACCCAGGAGGCAGAGGTTGCAGTGAGCCAAGATTGCGCCACTGCACTCCAGTCTGGACAACAAAAACAAGACTTCGTCTCAAACAAAAAAAGAAAATTAGTCTATAAGCTTTATGGCAAGAAATAAATTAGACAATTGTATAAATGACAAATTATACTTTCTCATTTTGTTTCTAATAACATGATCTATTTTCATGGCTCTTTTTGAAGAATATTATCCAAGTCGAACAAGTTTTTTTTTTCGGTTTTTTTTTT